TCATGAATGTTCACTCCTCACCCATAGCTGGTACAGCTCCATCATTTCACTTCATACTTTCATTGAGCCCTCCTAGACACTCGCCTAGGGTCGCCGGGTCCCCCCTGGCCACTGATGGGGGGGGCGCTAGGGTTGCCAGATCCAGGTTGGGAAACTCCTGGAGATTTGGAGGTGGAGCCTGGGGAGGACGGGGACCTCAGTGGGGTACAATGCCATAGAGAGTCCACCCTCCAAAGCATCCATTTTCTACACCTCTGTAGTCTGTGTTGGAAGTGGAGGAATCTACACTGTCTCCTGCCTCAGGCTTCAGAGGGGAAGCTACAATAGAGTTAGAAATATAGACGGGGTTAGGACACAGAGCATCCTTTCCTACCTGCTATCTAGTGATATCCCTTCGAAGTAGAATGCTATTTTCAGGGACCCTTCATAAGAACATAAGAGACGCCAATGTTGGATCAGGCCAAAGGCCCATCCAGTCCAACACTCTGTGTCACACAGTGGCCAGAAATACCAGGTGCCATCAGGAGGTCCACCAGTGGGGCCAGGACATTAGAAGCCATCCCACTGTTGACCCCCCCCCAAGCACCAAGAAGACAGAGCATCACTTGCCCCAGAGTCCCTATCTATACCTTGTGGCTAATAGCCACTGATGGACCTCTGCTCCATATGCTTATCTAATTCCCTTTTGAAGCCGTCCATGCTTGTAGCACCCACCACTTCCTGTGGCAGTGAATTCCATGTGTTAATCACTCTTTGGGTGAAGAAGTACTTCCTTTTATCCGTTCTAACCCGACCGCTCTGCAGTTTCATGGAGTGCCCACGAGTTCTTGTATTGTGAGAAAGGGAGAAAAGTACCTCTTTCTCTACCTGCTCTTTCCCATGCATAATCTTATAAACCTCAATCATGTCACCCCTCAGTCGTCTTTTCTCCAAGCTAAAGAGCCCTAAGCGCCTTAACCTTTCCTCATAGGGAAAGTGTTCCAACCCTTTTATCATCCGAGTTGCCCTTTTCTGCACTTTTTCCAAAGCTATAATATCCTTTTTAAGGTGTGGTGACCAGAACTGCACACAGTATTCCAAATGAGGTCTCACCATTGATTTATATAGGGGCATTATGATATTGGCTGATCTGTTTTCAATACCCTTCCTAATAATCCCCAGCATAGCATTGGCCTTCTTTATTGCAGTCACACACTTCCTTCTGTCTTGTCACCTCTCTCTTGTACACATTGCCAGATTTCTATTCATGCTGCCATCATGGATGCAGGGCATGATTCTTGCATCCCTATCCATCCTAGTTAGTTAGATATCTCTCCTGTCCCTACTCCTTACTGTCCAGAATGGAGTTCCTTAATTTTAAAAAGGGCTCTTATTAGCTTTGAAACGTGAAAGAGGCTCGTTATCAGAACACACACCCACACCAGAGAAGCTGCTGCTGTGCGGTCAGCATTAAGTGGGCTCTGCTAAACCACTCGTGGTTTTCTGGCTATAGCAGACCAGAGAATCCAACAGTTTGGAGATGAGCTGTAAGTCCAGGGGATCCCCAGGTCCCACCTGGAGGCTGGCATCCCTACACTCACCCCTTCTGCGACTTCTTGGGCTTCATCTTTCTCTTTCCTTTACCCTCCAACCGAGGTTGTGATGTAGACAGAGCAAAACACTCCTGTTCCATACCAGCCTCCTCTTCTTCTGGAAGCATCTCAGGATCCAGGATACCCACAACCTCTCGGAAAAGCTAAGAACCAGACAGAAAGGACTTCACAGTGAACATATGTCTGCGGCAGTGTTCCCTCTAAGCTGAGCTAGTGTGAGCTAGCTCACAGTTTTTTAGCCTCCAGCTCACACATTTTTGTCTTCGCTCAGGGAGGATGGCTCCAGAGCAAACTAATTTATGCAGTAGCCAAATCCCTTGCTCACAATTTTAGTGCCAGTAGCTCACCAAGTAGAATTTTTGCTCACAAGACTCCTACAGCTTACAGGGAACATTGGTCTGCGGAGCAGCTTCTCTGGAAACCAACAGAATCCAAGCAGTGTTTTGGATCCAGGACAAACTTGTAAAAAATGTTTCGTCCCTCACACACATCCCAATCCTGTCACACATAAATGTGCTGTAACCCGGTGAGTCATGAAAGAAACATTTCTGCAGTTAACTGGGAAATTACAATTTGCCACATTTCTGCTATTACTCGCCCACACTGTTTAATAACTGTTCTCTCTCTCTCTCTCTCTCTCTCTCTCTCTCTCTCTCTCTCTCTCTCTCTCTCTCTCTCTCACACACACACACACACACACACACACAAAAACACACACACACACACACACACAAACACACGCACACACACAATTCGGGGATTTTTTTGCGATTTTTGTTTAATACAACATGCAGCATGAAGAAAGAGTACAAAGCATGCGATTTTGTAATTTTTGAACGGTACTAATATTTTGTAATATTTTGAACGGGGCTGCGGTGGCTCAAGTGGTTAAGACGCTGAACTGCAGGCTGTGGAAGGTCGGTAGTTCCGCAGTTCGAGACCCGGGTGCCGCATGATGGAGTGAGCTCCCGTCTCTAGTTCCAGCTCCTGCCAACCTAGCAGTTTGAAAGCAAGAAATTGCAAGTAGATCAATAGGTACCGCTTCGGTGGGAAGGTAACAGCGTTCCGTGCGCCTTGGTGTTTAGTCATGCCGGCCATATGACCACGGAAACGTCTTCGGACAGCGCTGGCTCTTCGGCTTGGAAATGGAGATGAGCACTGCAACCCTAGAGTCGGATTCGACTGGCTTTCGAGCAAGGGAACCTTTACCTTTACTACAATATTATCCAGTTATTATTTTGATTTTTTTTTTAAATTCTGAAGAACCAACACAGCCGCAAACTTATTGCAAACAGACCAAAATAACGTCGGAGATTTATTTGTCTGCTCTTCTTCAGTGCATTGTGACGAAGGATGCCAGCTCTGGGTTAGGAAATACCTGGAGATTTGGAGCCTGAGGGGGGGAGGGTTTGGGATGGGAGGGATGTCAGTGGGGTACGATTAGGGTTGCCGGACCTCCTCGGTGGAGGTGGCGGTCCAACAGCCCCTGCCCACCAGCCGCAAATCAGCTGGCTGGCTGGGGGGGACTTACCAGTAGAAAGAAGAAGGTCTAGGCCATGTTGCTGGCATCACACCGGAAATGATGTCATCGCAGCAGCAACTTCCGGGTGACACTCTGCCATTTGGCTAAAAACTCTATGGTAGAGGCCAGTTTAACCAGAGAGTTTTTGCCCCAATACCAGAGCGTTATCTGGAAGTCACTAGTGTGATGATGTCATTTCCTGTGCGACACCAGCAATGTGGCCTAGGCCTTCTTTCTATTGGTTAAGGGCCCCCCCCCCATCCTCCACTGGTTACCAGGTGGGACCTGGCAGGAGAGACCCAGCAACTCTAATATAATGCCACTGAGTTTACCTTCCAAACTGGCCTTTTTTCTCCGGGTGAGCTGAGACTGTATATTATTTTCTCCGGCTTGGAGACCAGTTGTAATTCCAGGAGATCTCCAGCCACCACCTGTAGTTTGGCAACCCTAACTGTGACTGTATCCTGTTTTGAATCCGTTTCTTCCCCCTTTTGCTTTTTAAGTGAGGTGGGAACTTTTCTTTCAGGAAACAACCATAGCCATTTGCAAAACGCATGTGAAACGGTTTACCTGTTCCTGGTAGTGCCACAGTTCCCCACAGTGCCTGTGTTAACTCATGTCATTTTCACGTTAACATTTTATTAAGCCTAGGGAGCGAAAAGTCAAGGAGCATGGGCAGTAAAGAAGGCTGCCATTTCTGGGTTGGGAAATACCTGAAGATTTTGGGGGTGGAGCCTGAAGAGGGCGGAGTTTGGGGAAGGGAGGGGCCAGGGGTCATTTCGTAGAAAAAGAGGTGCAGGAGCTCATTAGCATAACTCATTAGCATAACTCGTTTGCATATGCCACACCCCCTGACATCACCGGAAGTGTGTCAGAAGGCAACACCCACCGCTCAGGCTCCACTGGACTGTTTTGGATTGCTAAAGCTGTTAGGGGGTACATGGGACGTGCAGATCTGTCCTCACAGAGCAGGGAGAGCTTGTACCTGAATAAAACTTGGTCCTAAAGCTGTCACTGGACTGTTTTGGATTGCTAAAGCTGTTAGGGGGTACATGGGACGTGCAGATCTGTCCTCACAGAGAGAGAGAGCTTGTACCTGAACGCGTGCCAGTGTGTGTGGGGGGGCTCTGCAACTTACCCGGCTGCTTCCTGCTCCTCATGGCCCGACTGAGGGCTGCTGGGAGCAGGGGGCGGGGCTTGTTGGATGTGCCCACCCCCTGAGCGCCTTACTGCCAGAGCTCCGCTCCTGTAGGAAATGACCCCTGGGTGGGGCTTCTGGGGACCCTATGAAGCATCCTCTGATAGATTCCTGGGAAATCTGTGTGTGTGTGTGTGTGTGTGTTTGTGAGCCCCGAACTCATGTCGACTTCTGGCTACCTCCAGTGGGGCTTGGATGTTTCAGAGAAGTGGCTTGGTATTATCTGCCTCTGCCTCCCGGCCCTGCTATTCCTTGGACATCTCCCATCCAAGTACTTGCCAGGGTTGGCCCTGCTTAGCTTCTAAGACCTGACAAGATTGGGCTTGTCTGGTCTATCCAGGACAGGGCGGAAAAGTAAAGGTTTCCTTTGCTCAAAAGCCAGTTGAATCCGACTCTTAGGGGGCGGTGCCCGTCTCCGTTTCCAAGTCGAAGAGCCAGCGCTGTAGAAAGACATCTCCGTGGTCACGTGGCCGGCATGACTAAACACCGAGGCACACGGAACGCTGTTACCTTCCCACCGAAGCGGGACCTATTTTTCTACTTACAGTTTCTTGCTTTCGAACTGCTAGGTTGGCAGGAGCTGGGGCCAAAGACAGGAGCTCACCAGCACGCGGCACTCGGGTCTCAAACTGCCCGAGCTGCCGACCTTCTGGTCCGCAACTCAGCATCTTAACCTCTGAGTGGTTTCTCAAAGAACAGTAGCAGGACCCATAAAAAGGAAAAAGGGTCAAGGATATGTCTTGGCTTTGTATTTGCAATAAGGTAGAAAGATTTTTGACTTGTATGTGAATAACAGAACTGTTATGTATTGGAACTGAAACGTTGCAGGACTGTGCTGCCAGAGACAAGGGTGAGCTTGGAGCCGAATAACAATAGACCAACAGGATTCTGGCAGTAACCAATTAAGATGTAAACTTTTGTAAATAGGCTACCAGGGCTCTTTTTGTAGAAAAAGCCCAGCAGGAACTCATTAGCATAATAGGCCACACCCAACAGCAGGAACTCATTAGCATATTGGGCCACACCCCTGACAGCGCAGCTCATTAGCACATTAGGCCGCACCCCCATGTTACCAGAAGTGTGCTCATCCAGCCACACCCACCTTTTGCTTGTTATTGTGTTTACCTTGTTTGTTGTCAAAACCCAGGGCCTTTTTTCGTAGCAGGAACTCATTTGCATGTTAGGCCACACACCCCTAATGTAGCCAATCCTGATGAGTCTCTGCTGTTGGGTGTGGCCTATTATGCTAATGAGTTCCTGCTGGGCGTGGCCAACTCGGGAGCCAGCCGGAACTCCGTTCCTGTGCGCTCCTGCCCAAAAATAGCCCTGTAAATAGCCTATCGTTGGGAGTGAGGTGTGTTGGGGTGCGGCCATTGCAGTCTACAGCCTTGTGCTTGCTGAAATCACTGAATAAAGTAGAGCTGATCACTAGGCTGGGAGTCTGTTCACCCATGGAACCCACTATTTAACAAGAACCTCACCTCGAGAGGGATGCTTTCTGCCAGGTGAGGATAGAGGGCCAGCGGGTGTCTGCTGAGGCAATACTGAGTCTGGGCGACCGTCTCCTCCCTGGCCTGCTGCGTCCGACTGAGCCTGGAGGTGCAGCTCTGGGGCTCCACGGCTATCCTTCTGGATCCCGGCCGGGTCTCGCGCAGAGCCTCAGGTTTGGTGCGGAGTAGAATCGGGACCGGCCCCTTTGTGGGCTGGGTGAGGAGGCTGCGGCCGAGAGGAGGGAGGCCGGCTTGGGAGTCATCCGGGCTGCTTTGCAAGAACCTCCAGCGCCGGCCGTTGAGGGCGTCGGAGAGCCGAGCTCTGGTAAGGCTGCGTTTCTGAAAGCACCTGAATGGCATCTCCCTTCTTGGGATCTGAAAAATAAAGCCAGACCCACTAGGCTAGGGTTCTCGGGCCCACCCTGGCCACTGGCAGGTGATGGTGGGGGGCAGGTTGGCCAGATATGCGTTGGGAAACTCCTGGGGATTTGGGGCCACAGTAGGGTTGCCAGATCCAGATTGGGAAATACCCGGAAATGTTGGGGGCGGGAAGGAGGGCTCCAGAGCAGACTAACTGATGCAGCGGCCAAATCGCCCGCTCGCAACTTTAACGCCAGCAGCTCACAAAGCAGAATGTTTGCTCACAAGACTCCACAGCCTAGGGGGAGCATTAGTTGTGAACGAGCGATTTGGCTGCTGCATAAATTAGCTTGCTCTGGAGCCCTCCTCCCTGAGCGGAGACAAAAATGTGTGAGCCGGAGGCTAAACGACTGTGAGCTCGCTCACTCTAACTCAACTTAGAGGGAACAGTGCCCCTAACCCTCATCCCCCCTGCTGGTGGCCGGGGGAACCTGGCAACCCTATCTAAGCACTTTCAGTCACCATGAAATTATAACCAGAAATAAAATTCTCATATGGCCTTTTCTCTTAACCAAAATAGTCTATCACCAGTCCTAGAACTTACCTATACATTCCTGCCCGGGAATTAAGGCCACAGGGACAGGCCCTCTTGACTCTCCCGTCAAAAGTAGCTTGTCTGGCAGGTACACGAGACAGGGCCTCTTTAGTGCCAGCCCCACGATTATGGAACAACCTCCGCAGGGAAGTGTGCCTGGCGCCCTCACACTCAATCTTTTTTTTTTTAAATCTACCCTCAAAGGGTAGAATTTTATTTGTTTTTTCATAACAGACAAACTGTACATACACACATATAACACAATTGGGGTTATCAAATGCTTATGTTTCCAATAATTGCCTCTTAGATATTCTCTATCTAATATAATATCACATTAAACAGGGCTATTTTTGGGCAGGAACGCACCGGAACGGAGTTCCGGCTGGCTCCCAAGTTGGCCACGCCCAGCAGGAATTCATTAGCATAATAGGCCACACCTAACAGGAGGAACTCATTAGGATTGGCTACATTAGGGGTGTGTGGCCTAACATGCAAAGGAGTTCCTGCTACAAAAAAAGGCCCTGGGTTTTGACCACAAACAAGGTCAACAGAATAAGAAGCAAAAGGTGGGTGTGGCTGGATGAGCACACTTCTGGTAACATGGGGGTGCGGCCTAATGTGCTAATGAGCTGTGCTGTCAGGGGTGTGGCCCAATATGCTAATGAGTTCCTGCTGTTGGGTGTGGCCTATTATGCTAATGAGTTCCTGCTGGGCTTTTTCTACAAAAAGAACCCTGCATAACATTATTTTCTATGAGCTCACATTTTTGTATCTTAAAACCAACATCTGTACCTGCTATCTCAATGATCTAACCTCTACTTTGCTCTAGGGATTACATTTTTAGGTTACAATCGTTTGCACTATTATACCAATTATAAAAGCGCCTCCATGTGTTCTGAAATGTGTGGTTTGTGGATCCACAAACCTCACACTCAGTCTTTAGGAGCCAGCTGAAGACAGTTTTCTTTAGGACTGCATTGGATTAAAGCGATCCAAAACCGTGATTTCAAAAATTTGGTTTTATGGATTTTTATGTACTTCATCTATTTTCTTATTTGATGTATTTTATTTACAGTGATAGCTGCCTTGAGCTCCGAAAGGAAGAAAGGTGGCTACTAAATGTTTTAAATAAAATGGATAAAAATAATATAACAACCGTGCAGGCAGAAACAAAAGAGGCATTCTAAGATGCTTCTTTAAAAAAAAACTGACCAGGTTCCTAGTACAAAAATGGTACTTTGCATATGCTCAGAGACTCTTTGCTTTTAAATGCATTCTTATAAATGGAGTCATATAAAATAAAGTTTGTGTCTTCTGTTTTCTTAAGTTCGGTATGAATGGTTTTCTCCCCAGTATGGAAATCTCCATGTTTTAAATCAAAGTTTCATTTTCTCAGTTCAATAGTTCACATTTGTTCCTTCTTCAATGCAAATATTGTAATTTCTATATGATCTCGGCTTCAGCCTGGATTAGTTATATAGAAAAGGAAACTTTGGCAGGTACAGAAGGAAGACTGAAAATAGCTGTCACGGTAGGCCTAAACTGACACCACATACAAACTTGAGAAATGGATTCATATGCTCCAGTGGTCCTTGTTTACCAGGGACAACCCCTATTTTCTGGTAATTACTGTGCCCACTTTTGTCTTCGTGGGAAACATTACATCTTCTTAGTGTTCGTTGCCAGTAGGGTTAACATAAGAACATAAGAGAAGTCAATGTTGGATCAGGCCAGTGGCCCATCCAGTCCAACACTCTGTCACACAGTGGCCAAAAAAAATACCAGGTGCCATCAGGAGGTCCAGCAGTGGGGCCAGGACACTGGAAGCCCTCCCACTGTTGCCCCCCCCACCCAAGGTCCAAGAATACAGAGCATCCCTTGCCCCAGCCTGAGAGTTCCTATCTATACCATGTGGCTAATAGCCACTGATGGACCTCTGCTCCATATGTTTATCCAATCCCCTCTTGAAGCTGTCCATGCTTGTAGCCGCCGCCACCTCCTGTGGCAGTGAATTCCATGTGTTAATCACTCTTTGGGTGAAGAAGGGCTTCCTTTTATCCGTTCCGACTTCTGAGCGATTTCATTGAGTGCCCCACGAGTTCATTGAGTGCCCACGGGTTGCTGACTGGCCATAAATAAAACGTCCTGTCCCTTTAATAGAAGCTTAACGTGATGTTATTGACCAGGTGATCCTGTTTACCTTCCAGGCTGTGAATAGCTTAATGATCACTTTAGAACTGATAGCCACCTTTTTGAATTCAGTATGTGTTAGTTTCTCATTCTATTCAATAAAAAATTTGATGTTTCCCTTGCACTGTCATACAATCAAGGAAAGGAACCCTGGGTAGATCTGGCCTGGTGCTGTTTGGCAGTAACTTGATTTGCAGAAATTGACAGGCAGGAGAAAGAAATATTATCACCTGCAAATGTCCACAGGCCCTGACCTAGGTGGCCCGTAGCCCGATTTCATCAGATCTCGGAAGCCAAGCAGGGTCAGCCCTTGGATGGGAGACTGGTGGAGATTGGTGGAAACTGTTATTAAGGAAAGAATTAGTAGGCACATTGATGAACAAAAACTATTGAGGCAGACTCAGCATGTGTTCTGTAAGGGAAGATCTTGTCTCACTAACCTGTTAGTGTTCTTTGAGGGCGTGAACAAACATGTGGACAAGGGGGACCCAATAGATGTTGTTTACCTTGACTTCCAGAAAGCTTTTGATAAAGTTCCTCATCAAAGGCTCCTAAGTAAGCTCAAAAATCATGGGATAAAAGGACAAGTCCTTTCGTGGATCCAAAACTGGCTAATTAATAGGAAACAGAGGGTGAGTATAAATGGGAAATTTTCTCAGTGGAGAGTGGGAAGCAGTGGGGTACCACAGGGATCAGTACTTGGTCCGATGCTTTTTAACTTGTTCATTAATGATTTGAAGTTGGGAGTAAGCAGTGAAGTGGCTAAATTTGCAGATGATACGAAGTTGTTCAGGGTGGTGAAAACCAGGGAGGATTGTGAGGCACTCCAAAGGGATCTATCGAGGATGGGCGAGTGGGCGTCAACGTGGCAAATGGGGTTCAGTGTGGTCAAGTGCAAAGTGATGCACATTGGAACCAAAAATCCTAACCATAAATACACATTGATGGGGTCCGAACTGGCAGAGACTGACCAAGAGAGAGATCTTGGAGTCATAGTAAATAACTCACTGAAAATGTCGAGACAGTGTGTGACTGCAATAAAGAAGGCCAATGCTATGCTGGGGATTATTAGGAAGGGTATTGAAAACAGATCAGCCAATATAATAATGCCCCTATATAAATCAATGGTGAGACCTCATTTGGAATACTGTGTGCAGTTCTGGGCACCACACCTTAAAAAAGATATTATAGCTTTGGAAAAAGTGCAGAAAAGGGCAACTCAAATGATAAAAGGGTTGGAACACTTTCCCTATGAGGAAAGGTTAAAGCGCTTAGGGCTCTTTAGCTTGGAGAAAAGACGACTGAGGGGTGACATGATCGAGGTTTATAAGATTATGCATGGGAAAGAGCAGGTAAAGAAAGAGGTACTTTTCTCCCTTTCTCACAATACAAGAACTCGTGGGCACTCCATGAAACTGCAGAGCGGTCGGGTTAGAACGGATAAAAGGAAGTACTTCTTCACCCAAAGAGTGATTAACACATGGAATTCACTGCCACAGGAAGTGGTGGCGGCTACAAGCATGGACAGCTTCAAAAGGGAATTAGATAAGCATATGGAGCAGAGGTCCATCAGTGGCTATTAGCCACAAGGTATAGCTAGGGGCTCTGGGGCAAGTGATGCTCTGTCTTCTTGGTGCTTGGGGGGGGGGTCAACAGTGGGAGGGCTTCTAATGTCCTGGCCCCACTGCTGGACCTCCTGATGGCACTGGTATTTCTGGCCACTGTGTGACACAGAGTGTTGGACTGGATGGGCCTTTGGCCTGATCCAACATGGGCCTCTCTTATGTTGTCATGCTCTTAAGGAAGCCCAGGGTTGCTGAACAGAGGCAGGCAATGGCAAACCACCCCGTGTTCTTCTCTTGCCTTGAAAAGCCTAGAGGGTCGCCATAAGTCAGCTGGGAGTTGACGACACTTTCTACCACCAAAGTCTGTAGCTCAAGACTGTTTGAAAAACCCTTAAAGGGGCGGGTTAAAAAGTTGGCAATCCCATGTTTGCGTGAACTGAGCAAAATGATTCTGAACTTAAAGGACAGATCTAAAAGCATCTGTTGCGAGGACTGAAATTCTACATGAGCCAGGGGTCATTTCCTGCAGGAGCGCACAGGAGCGGAGCTCCGGCAGTAAAGAGTCTAGGGGGCGGGCACATGCAACAAGCCCAACCCCCTGCTCCCAGAAGCCCTCAGTCAAACCAAGAAGCAGCCAGGTAATTTGCAGA